AACAAAGAAAAACGATATCGCCATTTGATCTCACAGCTAATGAAAATCCTGGGCTTCTCCTTACCAATGTTGTCTTGAGAGAAGATAATTACGAAAAATGGTCTCGATCTCTTCGTAGAGCACTTCGAGCACGAAAAAAATTTGGATTTTTCAATGAAACAATTCCTCAACCTAGTGATGGTTCCTCAGATCTTGAAGATTGGTGGACTAACAACTCCCTCATTATAGCATGGATGATGAACACAATCGAGGAGAAATTACGCTCGAGTATATCCGATGTCGAGGTTGCAGGCGACCTTTGGAAAGATATTTGAGGTAGGTTTTCTCAAATTAATGGACCTCGGATTCAACACTTGCGGTATGAAACAAAGCAAAAGGGTTTAAGCATGGTGACTTATTTCGGAAAATTGAAGAAATTGTAGGATGAGCTTCGTCATTTTAAAAGATCCAGCAATGCAAGTGTGGGTTGTGAAATTGTCGACTGGAGTTGAAGTGGGAATAAGAACGCGAGGATGAGAAGGTACATTAATTTCTCATGGATCTTGATGGGTTGCTCTACAGCATGACACACTCTAATATACTTGCTCAGGAACCGTTTCCTGTGATCAATAGAGTTTATGTGATTATAACACAAGAGAAGAAAATTGGATGTATGATTATGGTGCAACTAAACACATGTCAGGATCTCTTGAGTTCTTTTGTGAAAATTGGGTAATTTCAGATTTTCAGGTTCATCTTCCGAATTGTGAATCTAATACAGCGACTCGAACCATTGTTGTTCGATTGAGTTTGAAGATGGTTTTACATGATGTGCTTTATGTTCCTCAATTATCTTGTCATCTTATTTATGTTTCTCAATTACTGTGTGATTGTGATTGTTATGCGATTTTCTCTGCTGCTGGTTGTGTCATATAGGACCGACTTATGAGGATGCCGATTGGAGCGAGTGAGGTTTAGGAGGAACTGTACTTCTTTCGAGATGTGGAACATGCTGCTCCTATAAATCATATAGAATCTTTTGAATTGTGGCGTCGTTGCTTGAGACATCCATTTGATAAATTGTTTAAGTTTCTCTCCCATCTTAATACAATGAAGGATTTTAGACATTCGAATAAATCTTGTGAGATTTGTTTGAGAGCAAAACAAACTAGAGATAGTTTTTTCTCTTAGTAATAATAAAACTTATGATATTTTTCAGCTTGTCCATGCTGATTTGTGGGGTCCAGATTGAGTTCCATCTTTTTTCCGGTGCACAATATTTTTTTACTATTGTCGATGATTTTTCTCGTGCTCCTTGGATGAATGAGAGCAAAGATGCAGCGTGCGATCCAAAATTATTTCTAGTCTTCTGAATTTTATTAGACAGCAACTAAGCTGGAGATTTAAATGATAGAAAAGTACATCCGACAATTGTTTTCTCTTTGAAAATGCAGTTTGTTCATGGTCATCAAAGAAACAGTATGTAGTTGCACTCTCAACATGTGAGGCGGAATACATTGCCTCAAGCTTGGCAGCGTGTCAACCTGTTTGGTTGGAAAGTATATTGAATCAAATTGCATCACATGATCATCGAGCCTTGAAGATATTTGTTGATAACAGCTCAACAACAATAAAGTTGGCGAAGAATCCAATTACACAGGGAAAGAGCAAACATATTGATATCCAATTCTATTTTTTTCTTTAAGAGAGTTGGTTGAAAAGAAGAAAGATTGAATTGAAATTTTGTAAAAATCAAGATTTGATTCAATTACGTGAAAATTCTACCCGTAAATTTGTCAATTTCACAATCTAGTATATTGTATTGTTAGTTATAAATGTTTCATAATGTAAGAAGATATTATTATCTGATAAAATAAAAGAAGGAAGCAAAATTATCATAAAAGAGCGAGGATAAGAGAAAAGCACATTTATTTTATTCATATTCTTGTGAATAGACTTGCCCAAACGGTTCAAATTGTCGGTTACGGTTTGTCAGAATTTTAAACCGAAATCGAACCGTCCGAATGACGGTTTCGATTACGGTTTGACGGCTTCGATTACGGTTTATAAACTGACGGTTTCGGTTTAAAAATCGCCGGCTACGGTTTGAACCGCCGGTTTATATACTTCTTTTTTCATTTTTTTCTTAATATTAATTTTTACGATTAATTTTGATTTCGATTTTAATTTTAATTTTTTTATTTTTGTGAAAAAATATATAAATAATACTTCGTTTTTATAAAATAATTATTCATCAATTTATTAATTAAGAATGTAGAATACAATTATAATTTATATAAGTGTTTAATAAATTAATTTTTAAATTAAATCACACTATTGAAAATTAAAATTTATTTTTTTTAAGACTAAGATTATTTTTTATTTGATTTACATTAGAATTTAAACTTATAAATTATTTAATTAGATAATCCAAACTCCAAAGATTATTGACTTTTTACATATTTATTTGATTTTATTATTTATTTTTACAATTGTTAGTACAATTTTCTTTAAAAAAAAATTATTTCAAATTTCAAGTAAAAAAAAAATATTTAAATAATTATTTTATAAAAAAATATGTAAAAATAAATATATAAATAATAATTATTCAAAATTGTTTAAGTATTTTAAAAAACAATTCAATTTTATTAATTCTTATCACCTTAGTCCTTATGTTATTAATAATATTATAAATTTTAGAAGAATTATTTATGTAAAGTGTAAACAATTAAATTATCTAAGTGATAATTTTGATTTTCGATTACAAAATTTTACGTTTTTTTTTACTTATAATTATCATTTTATATATATATGCTCCTATAATACTATGTTAGTAAATATTTTATTTAAAAAATTAACTTGTGTTTAATTAAGAGGGCTTGGACATAATTTTAAATTTCTAATTTAGATTTATCTAAGTTTAAATTTTTTAAACTTGGGGAAATCTAATTTAGAAGTTTAAATTTATGTTGCCTACATATCCAATTGGAATCAAAGCCCATGTAGTTCTTTTAAGTTTTAAATATTATATACTAATATAAATATACCTAAAGTTAATAAATTTTAATCATCAGTTTCGGTTATATTTTGAAGATCATCACTTGAATCCGTATTATTAGGTTCACAATGACTTCTATCTTCAGCTTTTACCAAATCATCAAGTAAACATTGATTTTTTAAGTGTTCAACGGTTAATTTAGAACATCTAGCACTTAATGTATGACCACCCATACTAAAAGCTTGTTCGACGGCTACAGTTGACACGGGACAAACAAGTATTTCTTTTGCAAATAATGTCATTATTTGATAAGTAGATGCACCACCATTTTAAAATATCAAATTCTTCTAATTCATTTTCACCATATTCAAAAGTTGTTGTTAAATAAGTTTCTAATTCTAAATATGGGTTTGAAATTTCTTTAGAACGTTTACGTCCTCTTACATTATAAAAATCATAAAAGAATAAAAGTTGTGAAGGTTAAGATAAACTATCACTACAAGAAACATTAAAACTAGTATCTATATTCTGGTTAGGATCAATTCTACAAGCAACAAATTGTTGTTTATATTTTCTATAAATATCCATTAAAAGTTGTTTAGCTCCATATGCAATTGAAGTAAGGTTAGGGGTTTCATTATCTTTTTCAGGAAATAATGAGTCGTAATAATATGTTAGCAATTGTTCTAATCCATCTAATTTTACTCTAGGATCAAATATTTTAGCAACTAAGAATATATCAGGCAAATATAAAAAATATTTAAACCATTTAAGTTTCATAGAAGCAATAGCATTTTGAAGCAAACTATTTGACGATTTCTTTAATATTAAAGCAATTTTAACACAATGATCTATAGCCAAATTAGAAGTATGATAATAAATACCAGATAATTCAGTAGTAGCATCATTAAAAACTTGTAATATTTCACACAAATTTGAACATGAATCTCATTGTTGTGGAAATAAAGTAAAACCACATTCACATGCTTCTCGTGAGAAAAAATCACATAGTGCATTTCTATATTCATAGGAACCACGTAGCATTTTATAAATAAAATTCCATCGAGTTGAAACATCAAGCGAATTTTTTTTTGGTTGTAAATTATTTTGTCTACATTATCTATTCCATCGTTTTAATAATGATGCATGTCTTACTAGATAAGAAATTGTTTATTTAATAGGATGTACATGCTCTTTCAAACAAGATAAACCATCTTGAACACATAAATTTAAAATATGACAAAAACATCTAATATGAAAAAATTTACCACCAATTGATGGTTGACAATATTCAATAAGAGAATTTAAACTAGCCGTATTAGTACTTGCATTATCAAATGAAATTGAAAAAAAAAAATTGTAAGTAAATTATATTCTTGTAAAATAGATCGTATCTTGTGAGAAATATTTGTTGCGGTGTGTTCTACATCAAATTCTCTATATGCAATTAAACGTTTTTGTAATGTCCATGAGTTATTAATTCAATGAGATGTAATGCTCATATAATGATGTTCTTACCAATGATCACTCCAAACATCCGAACATATAGAAACTTTATTTTGTAAATTATTAAACATATTAATTAATTCTAATTTCCATTCACCAACCATTATATCAATATAACGGGTGAGTGTTGAGCGTGAAATTCTTTTAGCGGAAGGATTGTAAGCATTAGTAACCAATTTCTCAAAGCGTAAATCATTTGCAAATTTAAAAGGAAGATGTTTAGAACAAACTAACTTAGTTAATTCTCTTCTAACAGTAATATCACTATATTTAAATAAAGTAGGGGTACTTACCTCATCTCCAATTTTGGAAATGGATGACGGAATTTGTCCCCGAATTTGTGTTTGCGATGTAGTTATTCCAATTTTGGGTGTTTATTCTCGATATGGAGTGTAAATGTTCCATATCCTCCTCCTTTCTTGTAATTATAAACTTTAGAACAATAATTACAAATAACTTGAAAGCAATTACTTACCTCAGTTGCTTTCTTGGTAAAATGAACGGAGAAAATATTGGATCTTAAGGCTTGAATTTGAGGAGCTTTTCGTTTTCCACTTACATCTTCTACATTGTTGGGAGCCTTGGGGCATTGATTTTGACTTAACGAATCAAGCTCATCCAAATCTTCTATATTTCATTGCTCATAAAAAGAAATTATGAAACTGAAGAGGAGGAGGAGAATGTGAATCAGCAGTAGTCTTACCTTTGTCATTTCCTCTAGACATAGACGATGACATTTTTCTATTTTAAAAATTAATTTTTAATGGATATTAAATATATAAATAATGTAATGAAATAAATAATACAAATAAAAAAAAATTCAACTAATACTTATTAGCTACTTTAAAAGTATATTTTTATCTAGAATAAAATACTATATAATAGAGTAGATTAGTAGAATATTAAAAAATTAGTATAAACTTAATTACTTAACACTCAGAATTGAGAGATTAAATAATTATAAGTGAGTGAGAGAGTGAGATTTAGAGAGAGATAAATGTAGAAGTTGAGGTGAAGAAAATTTATCCAATTCATCCACCTATTTATACACCCAGTCATTAAATTTCATCCATTCATTTACTATAACGTACATTAAATCTCCACCGTTCATTTCAAAATTTCAAATTTAGAAAAAAAAATAAATAAAGCGCTCAGTTCTAACCGCCGGTTTGTTCCATCAAATCTTGACCGTCGGATCTGCGTGAATTAATTTTGACCATTCATTTTTTAAAAATAAACCCGCCAAACCGCCGGTTCAAACCGAAATTGGCGGTTTCGGTTCCAAACTAGTGGTTTCGGTTTGTATTTTATCCTGCCCAAACCGGCGGTTTGGAACGGAAACCGGAGGTTTCGGTTCGAACCGCCGGTTTGGGTGGACATAATTTAAAAAATAAATAAATAAAAAAATATATAAAATATAGGCAAAATAGCAAAAAATTCTCCGGTAGTTTTCCAAATTAGCTGAAGACCCCATGTGGTTTTAAAATTCCAAAAAATCATTTCCAAAATGTTGTACACTCTCCCCCATTTCTAAATTTGACTAACAGACGTTAAATTTTATCACATTTGACCGTTCTACCCCTATTTATATATTTTTTTTAATTTATTTCTCTTTCTTTTTTTTTTCTTCTTCTCTTCTCCCCAAAAAGACTCTTCTTCCCCAAATTCTTCTTTCACACGTAGGTTTTTCCCAATTTTTTTTTTTCTTCTTCTTCAATTCTTTTTCATGCACCGGAGCCTCACCATGTTCTTTCTTTTCTTCTTTTTCTCCAATTTTTTTTTCCTTCTTCTTCATCTCCAATTCTTCTTTTAAGAATGAAGAATTGGAGAATAATAAGAAGAGAAAGAAGACAATCAGCAAAAGCGTTGGAGCAGGGAAGGAAGAAGAGAAAGAGAAGAAAGAAGAGAAAATGGAAGGAAAAAAAAAAAAAAGAAAGAAGAAGAAGCGGACTGGACCAGATTTTTTTCTTTTTTTTTCCTCCAATTTTTTTCTTCTTTCTCTCTTTTTTCCCCCAATTTTCTTTCTTTTTATTTTTCCTCTCCAATTCTTCTTTCTTCCTTAATTCTTCTTCTGCAACCAACATCACCAAATTCTTTCACTTTTTTTAGATTGATTTCAAATCTGGATGTCAAATTGATTTCTGGGTTTGGTAAAAAAGAGAAAAAATCGATAATGAACAATGAATTTGGGATCGATTTCAAATTTGGTTATGTTTAGTGGATTTAAAATGAAAAAAAAAATGAATTGAGATTAAATTTTAAAAGTACGGAGAAGAACAAGGAAGAAGAAGTAGGAAGAACATGCTATAAAAATAGTCATTAAGGTATTTTAGTAATTTTATACAAAAATATATCAATTTATGGATAAAAAAATCGCATAGCAGGCGCGTGACATACAATCAAAAAAATCGCATAGCAGGCGCGTGACATACAATCACCGTTAAATTCTAACAGATGGGGATTTTTTGCAATATTTTGAAAACCACAAGAAGGTTTTTGGAGTTTTAGAACTACATAGAATTTTTCAGCAAATTCGATAAATTACAGGGGGTTTTTCGCTATTTTGCCTAAATGTCCAAACCGCCAGTTCAAACCGCCGGTTTACGGTTTGAACTGACAGTTCACGGTTTGGCTCAAATACAAACCGAAATCGAACCGTCGGATTCACAATTTCGGTTCGGATTTCGGTTCGGTTTGAGCCCGGTTTCGGTTTGAACCGAAACCGCCGGTTCATAAACCGGAAAACCGGCGGTTCCGAACCGAATGAGCAAGTCTACTTGTGAACAAGAAGAGTACATATTTTGTGAACAAGAAGAGTACATCTTTATAACGGCAAGAAAGATTAATCAAAGCCTATAATTTACATAATTATTTTATCATTACTGCTCAATCAATATTAATATCACACATACTGATTAAATTAAATCACTTATAACTAAGTTAAATCACACATAATGAATAGATTAAATAACTCATAATGACTAAATTGAATCACACATAATGACTAGATAAATCAGGATTATTCTCACATTTCCCCTTAATCCTCATTTCCCAAGACACAAACACAAACCATATCACGAATTTCTATTTAATTTTAACAATTAAATCAAACACTATTAGCAGTTTATATATTGAAAGCATTCCACCTCTCTAATACATACAGACTTACTACAACCTCAAAATTCAATCAAATGGCTCGTGTTTGTATAGTATGATCAGAAAGTATACACATTTTTCATTTTGTATTGTAAAATTACGAAATAATTATTTTATTAAATATTCAACTTTTTTCTCACAGATACCTCTCATTTACATCACATCGTATTTTTATACTAAAAAACAAAGGCAAGAATGTCACTACACTATTTTTAACTATCCACTCTAATTAAAATACTATTATTTCTTAAACTTCGCACCAAAAATAATTTTTTACTTTGTAGCCGGACGGAGATAATATCATGTAGTATGATTCTGAAAAAACCTCAAATATAAATTACTAAGAAATCTAAATCCCGAGTCCAAATTTTTTTGTTAATATAATATAAATTTAACATATGAATTGATAACACATAACAATGGTAGACACAATACTTAGTACTATGAATCTATAATCGATCTCATCACAAAAGATATGTTCATAGAGCACACTTGTAACGACTTTAAGCACATAGTTTCAATTAACACAACATTATTTATGTTTTCATGTGCTGCTTATCCTAATGAGCACCATAATCATTTCCCCAACCAAATATACATATATATATATATATCATCCCCTGATCAGACAGGAAACGAAGGAATGAAGAATTTGTATACTCAAGAGAATTATCTATGTAGAGAATTTTTATGGTGGAGAAAAATTGGGTATGTATCATTTTAGCAAAGTCCATATAATTAGAGGAGAGTTCAGAACGGTTTCACATTAAGTAAATCCACGTAAAACGAGAGTAGTCATCAATAAAAAATACGAAATAACGAGAATCATTCATAGAGACAGCGGATGAAGGTCCCCAAACATCAGAGTGAACTAATGAAAACAGAGTATCCACAACATAAGTACTATGAGGGAATGATAAAGCAGGTTGTTTCCCCAACAAACAATCCACACAATTAAAAGACTCTAAACCAACAGAACCCAAAAGACCTTAACTAATCAAATACCTGAGTTTATTTGTGGACGCATGACTGAAACGATGATGCCACTGAAGGCATGATGATGTAGAGGTGGTGGGGCAACAGAAATAGAGAGACGAATGAGCTGAAGTGACTCAAGCTCAAATAAGCGGCCCGTTTTCCGGCCCTTCTCGAGCGTCCTTCCGGTTTGCGCATCCTGAACCTGCACACCAAGAGAAAATTACTGTGAGACTTTGATCAACTAATTGACCAACTAAAACCAGATTCAAGGTTAATTGGGAAATAAAATATGTGTCAATAAGGGATAATGATGAGGTGGATGTGTCCAGTATGGGTGATGCGCATATGTGTACCATTTGCGGTAAAAGTAGGAGGTAGAGGTGGTGCGGTGGATGTAAAGGTCATAAGGCATATATTAGAGGTCATATGATTACTACAGGCAAAATCAAAATACCAAGGAGAGATACCTGATGTGGTAGACATGGCGGTATTGGAAGATGGAACCTGTTTAAGGAGCCTCCAAGTCTTGAGTCGTAGGAGGCGCAGGCGTGGCAGAGGCTGTGACAAATGAGGTACTAGACTGAAGAGGTCCACGAACATGCCGAGGCTTGAAGTTGCTGCTGCCAGAGCGAGACGGCCTATTAGAGCAATACTTTATAGTATGGCCTAAAACGTGACAGTAATGACTGACCGAAGTCGTGATCAGAAGACTGACATCGTTTACAGCAGAGTTGACGACTCTGAGTAGGTGGTCGGGCAATGACCGCAAGAGCATAATCAAGTGGAAGAGCCTTGGCTAAGTGGAGACGTGTTTCCTCTAAAAGAATCTCCTGAATAGCTGCATCCAATGTAGGAAGTGAGTGCCGATGTAACAAGGAGGCATGAAGTGCCTCATACTTTGTACACAAAGCCATCAAAACTTGAATGAGGCAAAGATGATCAAGACAGATCTCAGTTTGATCCAACTGATGCCAAAGGGGTTGCACTTGCGTAAGAAAGTCGTTGACAGATTGTCCTAGTTCCTGTTTCAGATCATGAAGTGTACTTCATAGCTGATAATAGTGCGCCAAACCAGTAGCACGGAAGCGGACTGCCAAGAAATCCCACGCTGCCTTAGTAGTTTCAACTTAAGCAAGTTACACATGTATCGTCGGAGTGGAAATATTGCGCAACCAGATAAGAATCTGATTGTCCTTACTATTCCAATCCTCCAATCTTTCAATATATGATTCAACAGCTTTAACAGTAGGCGCAACTTCTCCTATAGCAACCGGAGCAACATGAGCAACTATATCCCCTGTAACCCACCATAAATTTTCATTGATTGTGCCCATAAATTATAATTATCCCCAGATAAAGTGATATTAATTGGAACATAGACATCCATCTTTTTCATATCAAAAGAGAAAGCAACAACCACAAATAATATCTAACGCCGAAATCGCAAGATAAAAAATAGCCGACATAAGCACGGACAGAAGATCGAATCGAATCCGAAGCCCAAAAGAACAGACGATCACAAGATAGTGCTCAAACAAGAAAACAATTTAATACCATAAGAGACAAAATTAAATTCCGAGCAAAACACCGGAAAAAGCTACGGCAACTGCCGCAGCACGCGCCGCCTAGGCATCCGACTGCGAAACTTTGTCACGCGCCGCAGTTCGCCGTGAAATTTCGGGTGCCGGCCGGTCTCGCGGTGGCGCATCTGGTGGTGGGGGCAGTGTCGATCGAAGATCGCCGGAAAAATGGGTAACGGAATGAGCAATGTAATTTGATTATACGGAGAAAAATCGGAGCTCTGATACCATGTTGAAATTAACAGAATAATATTATTTCTCAAAAGATACAATTAGGATTACATAGACATGTATATACGATTGATATTGGGCCGGACCATTTACATAAATATAATATATATATATACATATCAACACTCTCATTCATCACAACTCAAAAAATTTAACTTAAAATAACTTCTAATTTCAAAACAAATCCCAAAATTCATGCAGTTGCTAAACGCATTCGATAATCATATGAACACAACAAAATATGCACATAAAATATCCAGCAATTAGCAAGAACAATACTGCTCACCCATGGCCATAAATTGTCTCCGAAAGGAACTTAAAATAATAAAATCAGTACGTACCTCTTGTTCCTACGTTAAGTACGCCGTCGAATCGCACTGCTATCTTTCGACATAGATGAACTAGTCGTGCCGCCATGGGTGCTACTCGAGTCCACGTAAGAGTCCTCATACTTTTCCCTCAGCGCCTGAAGCTTCAGTTCGGAGTCGTAAACATCAGGATCCATATTAAACTCTTGAATGCTGATTTGTCCTTGGAGCATGCCGACCACCTCCGACATAGTTGGCCGGAGAGCTGGCGACGGGCTCGTGCACAGGAGAGCGATTCTGATTATCTTTTCTGCTTCATTTCGATCAAATTCGGATCCAAGTCTTGGATCGACCAGCTCCATCAGCCTTCGTTGTTTCTGGAGGATAAGAGCCTGAAATGGGAGGAGATTCCGATAATAAGGCACAAGCTATGGTCGAAATTAATAAGGGGATTGAGGCAAAACATTAGCAGCATAAAGAACATGTAAACTCACCCAATCAAGGAGACAAACACAGTTTTCATTGGGACGATACCTCATGTTGTTCTTTCCGGCAACAATTTCTAATATGACCACCCCAAAGCTGAAGACGTCTGCTTTGTAAGTTAAGTAGCCCCATAGTGCATACTCAGGAGCCATATATCCACTGAGAAGCAAAGAAACGTCGAAATTTAATATAATGTGTAATAACTAGTATCATATATACCTCAGATGATTATGCGTAAAACTAGAAAACCACAAAAAAGAAAACAAACAAATGATGCATTTTGGTGCTTTTGTAAAGAAAGGGATTCAAGTAGAGCTGTTAAACGAATCGAGCCGTTCGTAAACTCGGCTCGATTCAGCTCAGTTGAAGTTTGTTCGCGAACGTTAACTTGTCAAGCCGAACAACATAAACATGCTCGTTTGATTAACGAACAAGCTCGAGCTTTGTCCACCAACGTTCGTTTAAATAATATATTTATTACAAATATTATACATACATATAAAATTATAAATAAATAAAATATTAATTTAAAATATATAAATAAAATGATTTTAAATTTTATTTTTAATTTATATATAAATTAAAAATAATCAGACAAACGAGCTCGAACGAACTTGAACGAGCTTTAATCAAGTCTAAACGAGTCGAACACAAACACGAGCTCAAACAACAAAAATTTTTAATGAGCCGAGCTCAAACACTACGAACGAGCTTGAAAACTTAACGAACGAACACAAGCCTTGTTCGCAAACGTTAACGAACACTTAAAATTTGGCTCGACTCGACTCGACTTGTTAACAACTCTAGATCCAAGAATGAGAAATGGAATGGTTTTGAGTAACATTTCAAGCAAAGCTGAAGATTTAGCACTAAAATGTAGACTTACATAGTTCCAGCAACTCGAGTTGTGATGTGAGTGTGCTCCTCTTCGTCAAGTTTGGCTAAACCAAAATCAGATATTTTCGGATTAAGATCTTTATCAAGTAGAATGTTGTTTGCTTTGATGTCCCTATGGACGATTTTTAAAGCTGACTCTTCATGCAGATAAACTAAGCCATTCGCAATTCCAAGACATATCTTTCCCCTGGTTGGCCAATCGATTTCCAACTGGTGCTCTTCTGGTCCTAAACTCGATTGCAAGAATGCATGTAAGGGATCCAGCACACTATGGTACACGAAAGGCGATGCATGACTAATGTAAGAATGATTATTTACCGAATAGAGCTCGGGCGAGGCTGTTGTTCTCCATGAACTCGTAAACAAGCAGCAAATGGCTTCCTTCAACACAGCACCCGTAAAGCTTAACGAGATTTGGATGTTGTAAGCCAGAAATGACACCTATTTCGTTAACGAACTCCCGGTTTCCCTGCCTTGATTTCGAAGATAGCTGCTTAACAGCAATTAACGTGCCATCCAATAGTGTACCCTGCATACAACATTACTTCCGTTTAGAGTTTATCGAAGCATTACCAAGAAGGCTTCAAGTGTGAATAATAAAACAACATAAAGAAAGCTTTTATCACTGCACCTTGTAGACAGCTCCGAAACCTCCTTCCCCGAGCTTATTTGCAGCATTGAAATTTTCTGTGGCAGCTTGGATTTGCTTAAATGTAAAAAAGCCAGTGTGCAAATTTAATCCTCTCAGAGCTGCAAAGAAAATATTTTCAGCCAATGTTTCGAATGGAGATTAGAGCATCTTAGGTTCATGTATTTGTGTTTGGTTAGTGCATTCAAGAATGAATGATCTACAAGATATCCAGAGCACAAGAAAAATAAACGCCTCAAAGTATTAATTATATCAACAAGAAATTATATGCTCTAATTCTGCTCATATGTCAAAACTAAAGGATAATCGAAAACTATTCACCACTTTAAAATGAAGGTTGATCTCGACATAAGACAGGTATGTGTAAGGAATTTGCAGTACCTTCCTCCCTCGAGATCCTGCCTCCAATGTAGCCTTTCCACCAGGAAAAAAGCAGAGCTACAACTATGAGTAATAAAGCGAAAAGAGATGCTCCCAATGCAATGAAAATCTTGGCTCTGCGGCTAAGTGGAGGCTTGAATTCTATAATGCAACATAATAAAAGAAATTCAGCAATTGATGTTCAATGAAACAATCAGGCGATGATCGTTGAAAATTTTTAGAATTTCACATGGTTTAAAATAGAGAAAGATTCTTACCAGATTTCACAGAAATAGCAGACACCAAAGGACCATATACTCCACGAGTCGGTATAGCAGTTGTTCCCTTTCCAGTATAGTGAAACCGAATCTCTAAACTATTATTCATTACAGGTACATTTTTAAAGGTTTTTAGAACAGCTATGCCAGCTCCTCCTGCATCATGCTTAATATCGAAATCCTTAAGCTTTAGTTTACCCTGCATTGATTAAAAGATATGAGTTTGCATCGATAAGTGTAGAAACCAATGAATCTGAAGCTCTATTCATTGCATAATATACCTGTATGTACACATCAAATATTCGTCTTCCAAGGCTCCAGTAAGACTGGTTTTCCTGGAAAACTATCTCCGCAAAATGAAGTGTTACTGTGTAGTTTCCATTTGCTAAGCAACGCCCATAATATGTGGCTGATAGAGGAAATTGACGGGCAGTCTCATATAATTCTGAGTCCTTCATTCGGAGAGCAGAAACATTGCTTGGTAAATAGTATTCTGGCCGTCTATCTGGCCGATACCAAAAGTCTCCTGTTATGCTGATCCCCCATTGTTCCTTTAAATGAACAAATTTTACGGGACCGAGTGGCTCTTTATCGTCATCAAAAGTAGTTCCATTGATCCTTGTTGTATTTCCACCGCAATTTACATGAAAGGAATACCAATCTGTAAAAATACATTAGAATGAGCTAAAAGCAACTATGAGTTAAATGGGACTAACGAGCTAAGTTCTCTTTTGACAACGACCATAATACAACGTCTACAGCACAAAGCATATATTTGATGTTTATGTCTCACCCTTCGGACAAGGCGACAAACATTTGACAAATTCTCTGCATTAATGATTTAGGAAAAGAAAGCATAAGTAAGAATAAAGACTCTTTGAAACTTATATTTGAATGACAAAGAAATACAAACTTACAATGCGTTTCTTCCTTGGTAGCTTCTATACAAGTTTCTAAACCATAAAAGATGATAAAAGGAAAAATAAGTTATGACTTGTACAGCAAAAGAAAATTGTAGAGCATTGTAAAACATAGCCTCACAAGGAATTATCCCGGCATTCTTGAGGCATTGTATCCTCGTTGAAGTTATTGTAGGATAGGTCAATTTGCCTGCAGACAGATATGGGAATATTGATTGAGCTATAGCTTCCCATCTTTTGGTTACTCGTTAAAAATGAGGAAGCTAAAACAAACATAATATACGTATGGATATACTGTATAATCATAAAAGATGCAGAAAACAAAAAGGGCATACTGTTTAGGGTCTCTTTTTATGATCCATTCTGGAATCGACCCAGAAAGTGAGTTACCGGTCAAGAACCTAATAGCACAAGAAGAACTATAAAATTTATTTGCTTAGCTTCTAAAATGCAACAAGACATAAAATTAAAGTAATCGGTCACATACACAATCTCCAGTTGACCCAAGCCTTCAAGATTTGGTATCGGTCCCTCCAAATTGTTGAAGCTCAAATCCCTTGCCATGCAAAATATTTTATATTCAACAAATTGTGTATGTGAAAGGATAGAACAAGCAATAAAAAAGTGAAAAAATATACAAATAAAACACAAACACTAAGCATGTCAAAGCACAGATAATGATAGTGAAACCACACTGTACAAAAAACAAAACAATCTACTACATAATTTAAAGGAAACAGAAGTAAATGCATTGATAAAAACGAAGGCATTTTAGCTCATGCACTCTCCTATAGACAAGCAAAGAGTTAGAAATGCACTCAGAGTGCAAAATCAGTATTCTGACGACAAAAATGAGAATAATATGGCAAGCACAGATCGAGCAGTTTGTAGAATAAAGGCCATGGAAGATCATATAGAAGAGACATTACAGAATCTTCAAGCGTGACAGATCTCCAAACGGTGGGATATTCCCAAATATATTACAACTCTGTAGCATCCTGCAATCACAGACTATGATGTAAATATTGCCTCACGATTTTGTTTACTAACTTTTTCTTCATACAGTTTTGATGTGATGACTGTTACTCACAATTTTGTTAAGTTACTTAGGCGTTCTAATCGTGGAAACTTCGAAGCACCACCGCTCAAGTGACTGATCTTTCTGAAAGTGGCATCATAGCAATAAGACAAATATTTACCACTGACTTATAATGTGTCAATATGATTTACAGGGGATGTGCAAACATCCAAGTAATGGTCTCCAAAGAATTTAAACTCACAATTCTGTTAGATTTATCAAATTTGAAATAGTAGGAGGAATGGGTCCTGAAAATCCACCTGCCTCTATTTCTCTGCATGTAACCAATGTCAATTTATCAAGAAACTGAAAAGAACTTGTTAAGGGAGCACAGAGGACTGAGCTTACAGATATTGGAGATTCGTCCAGTTGAGGAAATCGGGGAGTTTTCCTGCGAAATTGTTGCTACTTATCCTACTGCATTGCTTCCACAAGAGATCAAAATATCAATCACCTTAAATGATATAAGGAAATAACTGTATATTTCATATCGAAACTATATTTATGTTACTTACAATTCTATCAAATTCTTCAGTTTAGCTAACTCCACTGGTAGCTTCCCAGTGAGGAAATTCGCACTCAGCACACTGAATCAAACAAAAATTAGATATAAACAACGACGCCTTGGTAGCTGAGTACAGGCATGGCATGCTTTCGATCCATCATCTTGTCATAGAAGAGAATCTTACAGTCTCTCCAGGTTAACAAGATTCCCTAGCTCTGGTGGAACTGACCCACTAAAAAGGTTGGTCTCTAAACTCCTGAAATTTCGACAATCTTCAGAATTGTACTAGCATTTAACAATAGACTCTGCCACAAATCATTCGTTCATGGGCAGATGTATGCATGTGTGAGATTACGAGAGAGAATAGAGAGAACTTACAAATATGTAAGAGTAGTAATGTTTCCAAGGTATCTTGGTATGGGTCCAGATAAGCGATTGACACTAACACTTCTGCAAAAGTTAAGTTTCTATAGAACTAAGAACATACTGAACAATAACACATTCAAAAACTCTCTTAAGCGACTAATAAACTCACATGGATTTCAGCTTAGTAGATGCCCATTCCGGGGGTATAGTACCACTAAGAAAGTTTCTATTAAGATCTCTACACACAAATAGCAAAAAATTCTCAACAAATCAGATAATCGTAAATTGCTTCTACAGCCAAAAAACAAGAACCCTAATTTTTTTTCATACATTCCCTCCAGCTGACGCAACTTTGACAGGGAAGGAGGAAGCACACCGGGTAAATCCTGACCTTTAAAATTTCTTTTAACAAAGAAAACATTAGCAAACAGTTCTACCCGAAAATTCCACATAAGATCAACATTTTTGTTGCTCATCCTCCAAACTACAAAGCTCTTACATGCTTTGGATGTAATAAGTTCCATTAGGTATTGAACAGTTGCATACAATGGTGGTATTGTACATTCTCGTTTTCGAAAAGCTCCACGAGCTATCATCGCAGGGATTTTTCAATCCCCATTCCTTTCTCCCCAACTGATCAACTATCTCACGAAACGCACTCTCTGAAAATCAAGTAACGCAGGCAAGTCAAAAATTAAGATTCAGGCAATGATTGGAAGACCATCAGACAACCACCACAAAAAATGTCGATTAAACGAACGAGAGATGAGATGAACACTTACTCTCTTCCTCAGGAAGGTCTCCGCACTGAGCTGAAACAATTTGTCCTTCGAAAAGGAGCCATACAGACAGAGCACAGATGAGAATGAAAAGGGTTTTCGAAATACTCACACTGGTCGCCATCTAATCTTCTGCTAGATTGAAAACGCGCAGAGCATCTGCCGTAGTAATTGATACATGTAGGAGACGAACGGAAAGTTCAATGAATCGATCGATCAACTTGCGTGGCTTCTAGAGAGGTGAAGAGTTTGAACACATTCCGCCATTTTCTTGCTTGAGATTGAGATAAATGTGTACTGTGTATATGTACGTATACAATAATGTGGTTAGTGGAGCCATGCCGCTCTGCTCTGCTCTGTTTGTTTGTGCTTTTTTTCTTTTTCTTTTTTTTTTTTTTTGTTCTTAAGTAGAATTTACATTTAGTCCATATTATTAAAACTTCTTTTTTTTTTAAGTATTGATTTATATTTAATTTCTATTTTTTTATTTTTTTATTAAATAATATAGCATAAATATAATGTACTCTTAAAATATATTTAAATATTTTTAACATTTTTTTTATATATTTATAACACATTTCACTTTGTTTATATACTACATTCCGTTCTACCTAAATTGTTGTACTGATATATCTTTATTTACGTTTTGTGTACTTTTGTATATGTATTTTAAAAATATAAAAATAATAATTACAATTACGTTCTATTATGGGATGAAACAAAAAACTACTACACACTTTTTATATCCCAAATAAAATTCTATACCCGTCATTTTCGTTCATGTACCACAATATATTGACATTTTGCCTCCTTCCTGCAGTCGATTACTCTTATTTCCCCTCTAATTTATTCATATTCATTGAAATTTCTAAATTTGCACTAACATTATTGTATTATCTGAATCTAATTATAAAATAAAATATGTATAATGTAAGAATTACAATGTGTCAAATTTATTGAAATACAATCTAAAACAGGGACGTAGAATTTATATAAAATTATTTTATATATATATATATTCATTCAATCAATATAAATTACAAATTTATATTTTTTTTATAAAAAATGTAAAAGAAAAATAGATATATAAATTTTAAATACAACCATAATTATATATATCATTTTATTAATATTAGTTTACTTACTCTTTTAATTCTACCTATAAAATGAGAAAATTTAATATTAATAATTTATACTCCCTCCGTCCACAAACTATTGTCCTACTTTTCTATTTGGGACGTCCAACAACTATTGTCCTATTTCTTTTTTTAAACACAAATTTTACATTTTACCCTTCATTCATTTATTACTTTTAGGGTGTATTTGTTTGGGGGTTTGGATTTTGAGTTGGGATTTGAATAGTAAAAATTTTGAATTTGAATAGTTGTATGATGTGATATAAATAGGGGTTGATGTGATGTTTTGAATGTAAAATTAATTTTTAGTATAATATAAAAAATGAAAAATAGGTGTTTGATTTGATGTTTTTGGGGGGAAAAAATTGGATGAATAGTAAGAATTTTGCAAAATCTTGCAAATCGAACACACCCTTAATCTCTACCATACAATTAATGGCAAATTTGTCAATTCATAACAAAAAGACAATCACCTAAAAAATCGTGCAAATATACTTTAGGACAATAGAAATTTGACGGAGTGAGTATTACTTTTGTACAAAATTCATAATTATATTTAATATAATATAAAATATTACATAAATATTATACGTAATATAAACTTTATTATATGATTCAATATAATATTAGCAAAATATTTATCTATATATATAATTATTTTATCAAATATTTAAAATCGTATATATAAGACACAATTTTTTTTTTAATATTAATACTAGTAATAAAATTTATTTATAGTACTCTATATATTTTAAATACTTACTATGCATAAATTTTAGGGTTTGTTTGTTTTGTATTTTGGTTTGAAGGAATTTTTTATTTTTTTATATGAGATATAAAAAAAATATGTAAATAATATAAATATAATGAGTTTGCGTAATATATTAATTTTTGTAGAAAAATATTGAAAGTTTTTCAGAAAACAAACAAATTCTTATTCTATAGAAAATAAAATTTACAAGAAAATAAAATTAGATAATTTTTCCTATCAAAAGATTTATATTAAATATATAGGTCACAATTTTGTATAATTTTCTTTTTTTTGATCTTTACTAATATTATCATTTTTTTATTTTAAAACTTGAAAATAAAATAAATATAAATATAATTTTTTTAAAAAAAAAGTAAATTTAACTTTTTAAAAGAACCGATAAAAATAAATGGAGTTAATTTTTTTTTCTTATTCAATAATTCTAATTATAACAACACACCTAAAAAGTAAATATATAAAAATAAATAAATTATTCAAACACATATCCTAAATACTTATGCATATATCAGTTTTACATTCATGTATATACCCCTGATAGAGGTGTGCTCTCACGAAGTGCTTTAATTGTCTCCTTTCGGAAATTGACTGATGTCAATCACATTCTAAAATACATGTTGTTATATATATATATATATATATGATATTTAATTAACCACCAATCATACATTGATTGCCGGTGTTTGTACCCCGGATATTGTTGCCTAGTGCATTAAAGATATACCCCATTGTAATTTTTATGTACCTGCAATATAAAGTCATATGCTCCGCTAACGTGTATTCATGCTCTAGTTATATATGGTTGGAAAAATGGGTCGTATTTGGTTTAACATATTCAATTTCTCTTAGTAACAAGAGATAAATTTATCATTATTGTCTTATCACGACTCCCTGACATGTAAGTAAATAAAAGAATACATGTTTACTATAGATAGCTAAACAAGTAAGAAATGACATTGTTAAGTTTGTTGGTTGTTACTCATGCATCACTACTCTCATAAATTGATTGTTTTTTAGACATATTACGTAGTGATCCACACCGTAGCACACACAACAACATTTAGTTCACCAAGGATGAGAGAGGAAGTGTTCTCACCGAGTACGCGAATTGGCCCCTCTCTATGGAAATGACTGAAATTAACTACACTTGAAGATACCTGATAATACACAAATAATACCTAATAAACCATTATTTATACCTCGCATATAGGTGTTTATACTCAAATCACATTCTTATGTACCTACATAAAATATCTAAATACCGTAGGGCATATCTTAACTACTTATAATAATAGTCTCATATGCTTCAGTAAAGAGTATATATGCTCTAATAACATGTGGTTGGAGAATGATCGTTTTTTGTTCAAAATATTCACTTGTTGACGGTAACTAATGATGCGTTCATTATGATAGTCTTCTTGTGACACCCCAAATTGTCAGAAAAGGTAAACAAGACATATTTATGAATGGTTAACCAAGTCAAGAATGACTTAGATAAGTTGTATGATATATGTACTATTATAGTTCAACCTCAACTAATAGATGTCTAATAAAGTCATAAGTGACTAAGTTGAATTATATTGATTGTTAGAGTACATGATTGCTATCACAAATTGAAAATCTTTAGACCTATTACATATTAATTCACATCGTAGTACACACAACAACTTTTGGTCAAGGGCATCTAAGCATAGGGTCTGACTCGGCTAAGCATGTGAGTACTCCAAAGCAACTATGTCGTACCCCCAACCTGATTTTGTGTACAAAATTCTACTAGTTGTGTACCTACTGCAATCTTTTATGTAATTGAACATCATAATCTCATGACAGAGTTTTCTAACTGTGTACCTTTATAGCTCATGTTAATACTTGTTATGATTTAGCATATGAACAAAGTGACATTGATAGATTGGTACCTATGCTACCACACTCATGTGCTTTAATACATCAATTGTACACTCCCTAAAATGATTCATATGACTCTGATATGTTTTCAGAAACCTATGACTTTAAAGTATTATAGAAAAATGAACACTATCACATATTTGTTGTTCGTGTCTATATACGTTAGTACATTCTCTCGTTTATCTTAGTGTATTAATTACAATGAATTGTGTATGGGTTTAATTGATACAACACAATAACCTCCGATTACTTTATACCAATACGGTAATTATTTTTTGAGACTTCATTGACCTTGATAGCACAGTAATATCATACTACGTCATTGTGCTTCGGGAGATCAACTACATACCCAACATATAATTTGTGTGTCTCTATTACGTTTCCTAATACGTGTGTAATTGAATTATCATACACAAAAGAAGATTGTCAAATACCCATTGTTGGTGTTCATGTACCACAATACATCCAAGTGGGGTTTTGTTGTATGTTTACAAACAATATTTCATTATATCAAATACGCCAAAACGGTTCAAACCGCCGGTTTCGTTTTATCAAAATGTCAAACCGAAATCGAACCTTCTAAATGACAGTTTCGGTTATTGGTTGACGGTTTCGATTACGGTTTAAAAAACTGACGATTACGGTTTGAACTGTCGATTTATGTATATTCATTTTTAATATTCTTCTTTTTCCTTTTTAAGTTTTTCTAAATTTAAAATTTATTCAAAAATAATTATTTTTTATTTTAATTCTATTAAGGTATATTTATTATTTATTTATTATGTAAAATCATATAAATAATAATTACTAAGATTGTACAATATAAAAGTGATTAAAATAATAGATTTACTAAGTAATTAAATTACATTAAATTTTAAATTAAAATAAACAAAAACAAAATTTTAAGAAATTGATGTGTATTAGATAATAAAATAGTTTAAATTAAATATAATTATATGATAAGAAATACAAAATCTAAAACATAGATATATAAAATAATGTATATTATTATTATATAATGAATAATTATTTATTTTTATTAATATTAATATTATCTTTATTTTTATAATAATTTACTTATATATAGTAGTTTTAATTATAAGTATATTATTATATAATATACAATTTTAGCCATAAACATCCGCTCTCCATATTCCGCAGCCACTGCCGCCTGCGACAGGCGGCAGTTGCAAGAATTCGTTTTGCGTTTTTTTTCCGTTTTTTTTTTTTCAATTATTTTTTCTTTTTCTTTCCTCCTCCTTCACGGTCACCGTCCGCCCATAACATTCCATAATCCACAATTGCAGCCGGCATGCAGGTTCAAAATAATAATAATAATAATAATAATAATAATAATAATAATAATAATAATGACCGAACCGTCAATTGAAACTGTAAACTGGCAGTTTGAACCAACAGTTCGCAGTTTGACAAATATATAAATCATAACAAGCGGTTTGAAAACCGGTGAACCGAA